TGGTCAGATACTGGGAATCAGCAAATGAATTGTTGATCTTTGATGAGAAACGCCTTCACATGATGGGAGAAGTGACCTCATCTGTCCTGGAGATCTGAAATGTTCTTTTTTACCAGGAATGATTTATGAATATCTGTGATACATATACAGTCTAGATATTACATTTTAAAACAGGCTTGCCATACTGGGCAGGTTCATTCCTGCAGAGACTGCAAACTAAGAGCATTAGCAAATGGTCTACGCCTGCATCGCGCTTTTCTCAGCGGTACTACATAAGTGTAGAATGAAAGCTTTACCTGTAAATGAATATTGTCTATTGTTTGCCGGGGCTTTGTGGTGGAACCACCTGGCTGTGAAAGCCACTGGGGCAGGTTAGTGCAGCGTGACTCTGGTCGTCTTAGGGATCCACCTCACCTGGTCTGGCTCGTATATATTTGAGCCACTTTCTGCCTCTCCTCTGGTTAGCTTTTGGTAACCTTCTGTTTTTACTCCAGTAAACTTCCTTCTTAGTTCTGTTAAATACAGATTTGGTTTTTTGCTCATCACAACTCATGTGTGATCTCCTCCTTCCCCCGGCCTTGATCCAGATCAGGGTCGGGCTGGGGTTAGGGTTGTGTGTTTGTAATGTTTTTGTAACTGCAGTATTGGGTAAACGTGTATAGAGCTATAAGGCAGCTTGAAAAACAATAGTAGTTAATTATGAAGATAACTAGAGGTGGTTAAGTTAAATAAGCCTTTTTTTCTACTTTAATTTGGAAACATTCTGAATACACACTGTTCTCCAGAATTATTGGCTCAATGTTTGAGTTATATTCACTCAGTTAAGTACAATTACTGAAAAATTGACATGAAATAAATATTTTTCTGCAAAACATGTATGTCACAAGTTTTACCCCCCATAGAAAATCCTGTAATTAAAATCTAACAAAAAGTTATTTGACACATTTAATTTCTCCTCTTTGATTAATAAGTGGTAAGAGAGCATAAATATGAATTGGCAAAGGCCAAATTCTCTGAAAACACAGTGATGATGACAAAAGGTTGATGAGATGCACAAATCAGAAATGGATCCAATCTCAAAACTGGTGAAAACACCCGTTTCCACCATCAGGGTAACAATTAAACAGTTTCAGGGAGCAGCACATGTTAAGAATCAGCCTGAAAGAGGACATACATGTACAGTGACATGATGAAGAGGATGCTTTACTGGGAAAACAATCTCTGAAGATCACAGCTGGAAAATGACGTCTGTTGAGTCTTGGGTGCAGAAATTCACTAAAACTAATGAGATATCACCCACATCACTTTAAGTTGTCTTTGACAAGTTGCCAGAAAAACAGATCCTCTGTATTCTGTCAATGAGAAATAAATTGCCAGCAGATTGTTAAACATCAGCGGGACTTTCACTGTGACTGGGTCATCGGCCAGATGAGAGCTAAATAGAAGTTTCTGGCAACAGCAACAACTTCAAATATGGGTTTGGCATCGATAGATATCCACACAGACAAGCACTTCATACTCACTGTGAAATGCAATCACAGCTCATTGATGATGTGGGACAGTTCAGTTATCAATGGACAGGGACACCTGGTTAGGACACATGTGTCTCTGCATAGTGAGACTTCTCCCCACAGTGCTGCCGACAGCAGACGGGGAGTTAAAAGCCACGTGAAATACACAAAGGAAATCCTGTACTAATGACCAAAGTCTAC